AATTCCATGTGGGAGAGCATTAAAGGTTGAGAGTATTCACCTAGAAGGGTATAGAGAGAACTTGCCTGCTAATCTCATATAATGAAATAACTTTTAAAAATAAAGATAAATAAAGACATTAACGAAAAAGAGAAAGGTAATCAGAAACTCTAAGAAAATAAAAAAGCTGTGTCAGCCAAGGAATTGAATCACAATATTGGTATTTTAAACTCATTGATCTACAAAATCTTCTCATAGAATCAATTTATCTGTTTTCTTTTTCTTTTGTTATTTTCTGCTTTTGCTATCACGCTCCGAAAGGCCACCCCAGCTCAGGATTAAACACGCATTTACCTATATGTTTCTCTAGTATATTTATTTGTTCTTTTCCTTTAAATCTTCAAGGAGAGGAAATGTCCCCCAGAGGACTTCTGAGGGAACAGCTCTGTGCGGGCAGCCAGACCTCACAGGCACCTGCACCGGCCCCCTGCGCAGGAGCTGAGTGCAGCTGATGCGAATCCTGGCAGGACGCCTTGGGATCTTTCTGGACTGAGGAAAACGGGAGATTTGCCAGGAGCAAATCGCTGTCTCCTAAGGATTCTCTCAGGGACAGCTTCCCATGGCCTTCTGGTACTGATGTGGTTTGTGGCTTTCTACCTCCCTTGGGGTACAGCAGAAAGCTATGCAAATTAGCAGCAGCCTTGGGGCGCCTGGGTGGCTCAGTCAGTTGAGCGTCTGACTTCGGAACCACAAGATCAGGACTCGATCTCAGAACCACAAGATCAGGACCTGAGCCGAAACCAAGAGTCGGACACTCAACCGACTGAACCACCCAGGTGCCCCAGATGGCCTCTCCTTTCTTGACTGGCCAAATCGATGAGTCTTACATGGCCCTTGTGCTCAACGGTAGCAATGTATTTTCTACCACATTGTTGGGAAACTTTCCTGACACCATTTACGGAATCGTTTACGCTTTCCCCATAGATTTTCTTTTTTCCTGCTTCTTTACCTTTAAAATTTTTTCTTATGTGTAAAATTTTTTCACGTACTTGCATTTGTTTCTGAACTTTTCACTATGTTCCGTTTGTACAAATTTACGTTCATAGACAAGTGTTCAACAATTTGGTCAAGACATTTGTTAAAAATAAAATCCCAACTTGCATGTCCACAGTGTTTCAATTAAAAATGAGTAAATAATAATGAGATAAACGTAAACATCCCAACCTCCTGGAATTTTATCGTTTCTTTTGGGTGGAGGGCTGGTATCTTCCCACCGTTGAGCCTTCCCATCCAGATATAGGTTATTTCTCCCCACGTATTAACCTTTTCTAACGCCCCACAGTAGAGTGTTAGAGTTTTCTTCAAAGAAGTCCTGCACGTTGCTTACGTGTGTGACTATATGCCTTAGATTTTGTGTAGCTCTCATGAATGGGATTGTTTTCCATTTTATTTCTTTTTTTTTTTTTTATTTTTTTGGGGGGACAGAGAGAGACAGAGCATGAACGAGAGAGGGGCAGAGAGAGAGGGAGACACAGAATCGGAAACAGGCTCCAGGCTCCGAGCCATCAGCCCAGAGCCCGACGCGGGGCTCGAACTCACGGACCGCGAGATCGTGACCTGGCTGAAGTAGGACGCTTAACCGACTGCGCCACCCAGGCGCCCCTCCATTTTATTTCATAAATGGTGATGGTTTGTTGAAGGGGGTAAGTAGGGAAGTGACCTGGTAGCCAGTGACTCTTTGGGGGACGGGAGAGGGGTGCCTGGTGGGGCTGGGCCTGTGACTCTGTGGGGCCACTGCCCAAGCATTGCCGCGGGCCTTGTCCCAGTTCTTCTCCTCATCCCCAGCCTTTTGTGCCCTAGTGGTCTCCTCGAAGTACATGCTCTCTGAGAGTGACTAAGTCCCAGCACTTACTTAACTCACCTTCTGGAAATAGGCCTCTGGGACCAGGACTTAGAGCTTCTTTTTGTGTTGTTGTTTCATTTTTTTTTTTAAAGTTTATTTATTTATGTTGAGGGAGAGACATAGACAGCGAGCAGGGGAGGGGCAGAGAGAGAGAGGGAGACAGTATCTCAGCACCATCGGCAGGGGGCCCGATGCGGAACTCGAACCCATAAACCTGAATCGAGATCAAGAGTTGGACGCTTAACCGACTGAGCCACTCAGGCGCCCCAAGGAGTTAGACTTTCAAGGACAGGTGTGTGTTGAGGACATCCCAGGATGCATTAGAGCCCTTCTTCTGAAGTCAAAAGGTTATTGAAGCACCTGCTCCTCTTACCTTCTTCCCCAGACTCTGGCACATACAGAGATGGCTGAGCTCCGGGAGGGCTGCTTCCAATTAGTCTGGGGCCTTTAAGAGCTATTTCTTTGCCTCTTTCTCAAAAGAGAGGCGGCTCAAAAGTATGGTTAGATGAAAAGATCACCCTAGAGAGAGAACAGGGCAGATGCCCCTCTTGGGAGAGTGAACATGACAGATTTCTCCCTCCCCTTCCTCCCCCTCCTCATGTGCCTCTGACAGCTAGGCCAGGCGAGAGCCCAACATTCTCAAACGAAGAAAAACACCTAAAACAGTTTTGATATAGAAAGATCCCTATGGCTAAGATGTAGCAGGGGCCTCTACGGGAGTGTGATTTAGAGAAGGTGTGAGAGCCACCTCCCCACGATACCACAAACAAAATGGCACCCAACATTCATCGAAGGGGGAGCCCAAGGCCGGTCCTGTCTTCCATGTTCCAAAGACTTTGCCCCGTGAAGAGGGGTTGGGTTAACACGTGGGTCATCAGAAAGGCCGGCTGACCTCCTCTCTCTTGCTCCACCCTCCTCTCCTCAGAGTGGTGTCGTCTAAGGAGTCCTCCTAAGTAGCCGTCTCAGAGACAGGGCACACCCCACCCCACTCCCGCTCCCTGGTGCTGGTGCTTCCAGTCTCCAGGGGACACGGACCCAGGAGGGCCTGCTCCTGCGAAGCCAGGAGCATGAATGAACGGCCTCTAGTATTTTGGTGCAGAAATTTAGTCTTGCTAAGGAAGTGGGGCACATGAATTGACAGAGGTAGAGTCAGAGCTGAGCAGAGGAGGTGACTTTTCATTATTCTTTTTTTTTTTTTTTAATGTTTAGCTATTTTTGAGAGACAGAGAGAGAGAGAGAGAGCAGGAAAGGGGCAGAGGGAGAGAAGGAGACACAGAATCCGAAGCAGGCTCCAGGCTCTGAGCCATCAGCACAGAGCCCAACGCGGGGCTTGAACTCACGAATGGTGAGATCATGACCTGAGCCATTGTCCGACGCTTGACCGACTGGGCTACCCAGGTGTCCTTAAGTATTCTTAAGATAAGCCTCTATTCCACTGGAGTGTCTGTCACTAGGTTTCTGATCCTAGCAACCAAGCAAAAGCAATTACCGTATCTCTTGCCCAACCCAAGCTCTGATGAGTTAGGGAGTCTCTTAATTCAAAGTGAGACCATGAATAGAACAATAGACTTTCTAAGTTTTAGCGACCCCTGCTGTATGCCAGCATAGACAACATGTAAGACATCCCTACTATGTACCTGCCAGATACCTACACCTCAGAGCATTACTCAGTTCCCACCAAACTCCCTTATGACTGTCTCACTGCTATTGTTTCGTAGGTGAGGAAAGTTGGGACTAATTAACATGAAGAGGCAGTCGAGCCTAGTAATTAAGAGGATGGGCTTTAAGAATAAAGACCGTTCTAGGTTGGCATCTCGCCCCTACCCCCTTAAAGGTTTAGGACTTTGCTTTTACACTTCTCTTATAAACTTCAATTTCCTTGTCTATAAAACAGGGAAAATAATGCCTACCTTTCACAGGGAGCGGTGTCTATTAAATAAACGCAGTACAAGCAACCTTCGTGAATACCATGTCAAAGCCTAAGTGACAGACCCGGGCTTCACGTCTAGGTCCATCTGGCTTCAAAGCCCTGGTCCGCACTCAGCATGGGCCCTCAGAGGGATAAAAGGTCCCTCCAATGTCTTCCAAGATTGCAAGGCATCAGAACTAAGAAGACTGTTCCCTGCTCTGTAAATCTGAGAGCTGACACCGGAACATTAGGTTTCTTGCATCCGACTCAGGTTACACAACCTGTTTTACGCTGGAAAACTATAGTCAAAAGGGGAATGAAAACATCGAAATGACCTTTACTTGGATTCTTCCTGAACCAAACAGGGAATCCGAAGTCAGCGCAGGCTGTGGTAAGGGTGCACCTACATCAGCCCCAGTGCGCGATCCGCCTTTCAGATGCTAAAAAATTAAAGCTTTTTATGATTCAGTGCCCCCCACCTCTTTTCCTTCACTTTGCCCAGAGTCCCAAGACTAGTTTTGGGAATCTAAGGTCTTTCACATCACATCTAAAAGCACATTTTCATGTAGTTTGAAGGCATTCATACCTGTATTACCTTTGATGCAGCCATTTGGCCTAAGTTTCATCTTCATTTGGAAGCCCCCGGGACTTCCTTCGTATGTAACAGTGGTGCTATTTAGAAACTTGAAAATGAATCTAAAGGCACTTTGTAAATTGTAAAGCTGGTGATATTTTAAAAATAGGGCTTTAAATATTAATAAAAGGTTTAAAAAAACCCACTAATTGAAGTATTCAAAATTTTGTGTAAATAGATCAACTGGAAAAAAATGCAGAGCATGAATGTGGAAACCTGGGCCCCATTTCCAGCTTTACTCCTGGCTCGGGCTACATACAACCCGTGTCCCAGCTTCCACTGGGGAAATGCTGGAGTAGTGAATATGCTCTCAAAGGGTTGGAATAAATAGTGATAAAAGCATGTTATTTTTGCTTTCTAAGTTTTATCTTTAACCTTATCAAGCTATCAGTTACAACTGAGGAATCTTAGGACAGAGTCTCTGTAAATGGCTCCATTTCTGATCCCAATTTTTCCACCAAAGTGACACCCTTAAATCAGAGCCCAGGCTTAGGGAAACTTAACTTCCCAGCTGTGTAGAGACGTTCCCACTTCCCACGTGCATATCCTCGAAGGTAACAAACAAACAAACAAAATCCTATTTCCAAAGGTTTTATTTCATGTACTGTTTGCTGTTTAGAACTTTCCTACGCTCTGCATCCTAAAGTCGGTCAGTGTGCAAACTCTATCTCATTCAAAAGAGACATGGCCGTTGAGTATCCAGGAAAACACAGGTGAGTGCCACATGCTTACTGGGCATGCTTAAGGAGCTGTTTTGGGCCAAGAGAAAAAGAAAGGAGTGCTTGCAGAAGCGAAAGATACCCCATGCACCCTCAGACACACACTCAGGGAGCTTAGAGGTTGAGGACACTCTTCTCTACCAACATGTGGACCAAAACAGAATTCTTTTCATCTTCCATCACGCTTTTAAAAAAGCAGAGAAGACATTACACATTAACTGACCTTAAATCAATGTCAAAGAAATGAGGAGAAAAAATTAATGCACAAAGAAATACAATTCACAAAACAAAATATGCAATGTTTTAAAAGCTGCATACATTTCAACAAAAAAGTTGGGGACACAGATTTGGTTATATAGATTTTTCAAAATATTTATTATAAGAAGGCTCCCTTTCCCATATTAAAAGGAAAACATATGACTGGAAATATTCCAAGAATGGAAACTAGGTTAAACCAATTCCCAAGTCCTTATCAAATAATGGATCCATAAAGGAGAGTATATTTTGGAACTTAAAATTAGGGAAGCCTATGCATAATGTAGATGGGGCAAGAGAAAACAGAACAAAGTCAGAATGATCGTTTACATTTTACAGTCTTTAATTAAGCACATAAAACTGTACTATTTAATATATTTCTCCATGAACTTTTTGTGAAATTCAGATCGCAGTGTATCATTTACAAATCTTTTGTCTTTCTTCTGATCATCTACACCTTTTGCACAGTTCTTGAAAACAACATCATCATCCCACCTAAAGGAAAAAAGCAAACAGAACGCTTACATGTCTGTATCAGGAGACATGAAAAAGTGAGTTGCAAAGCTTAGTCATTACCCAGAAATATGCTCAACATATACATCATCTGATGCAGCAATTACACCCAAAAGAATAAAGTAATTCTTAATAGGTTGTAATTTTGCTTTATTACAGCAGGAAAGGCAATTCCTATTTAGAACATACATTCTTATGACTTCTCCTGTATGAGAAACTCTGAGTGAAAAAGCAGAAACACACCGGCTTAATTGCATAAATATTTAATGTTTTCAGGTCTGAAACAAAGAGGCAGCCCTGGTATTACCCTGGTTACTGTAGATGGTTCTAGATGATAATAACTGGTCAATTTACTATAGTTCGGATTACCAGATTTTATGCTCTTTGATCAGTTACCACTTAGTAATCATCCACTATAGTATGTGCATTTTATGGCAACAAAAGAAGAAACTACTGGGGTATAACCAGTAAGGCTCATGTGCTGGCCCATGTCCACCTGTCACTGCTAGAGTAAAGAATATTCTGGGTGACCCTCAGAAGAGGGACAGAGCATGAGGAAGTGTGCCCATGGATTCCTCCTGTAGCTTTCCCCCTTATGACCTGGCTGTGGCTCTGTTAGTACGAGGACAACTATATGCAGAGTCCTTTGTGTCCTTCTGGTGAGCCTCTGAATGTGAAGGGTGAGCTTGGGACTCTTCCCACACAGATGTAAAATGTAACCTCTGTAGGGCCAACGGCTCAATGCACTGCTCCATCCCTAGCGCTTGGAACAGTATCTGGGGGCGCCTGGGTGGCTCAGTTGGTTAAGCAGCCGACTTCAGCTCAGGTCGTGATCTCACGGCTCGTGAGTTCAAGTCCTGCAGTGGGCTCGGTGCTGACACCTCAGAGCCTGGAGCCTGCTTCGAATTCTGGGTCTCCCTTTCTCTCTGCCCCTCCCCAGCTTGCACTCTGTCTCTCTCTCAAAAATAAACAAACACTAAAAAAATTAAAAAACAACAGTATTTGGTACACAGCTAGTTATCAGAAATATCTACTGAAAGTAAGTACACGTTCATTCCTTCTCCTTCTGTCATTCTAATATCTGACGGAGAAGATGACCAGTGAAAAAGGGGTTTTTAGAGGCTTCACATAATATAGCTTAGTATAAAACTCCCAATCTGCAATATATATCCAACTCATTAGTGTAAAGTACCTTCTTTTAACTTTGAAGTTGGCCTGAGGCTGGGATGGACCAGTGAGATTAAGGAGAGGGTTTCCACTCAATATGTTTTCCATACGTATTCTTTCTTCTTCAGCTTTTTGTTCTTGTTCCTGTCAATGACAGAGGAGGGCTCATTTATTTACGTTAATTCTGGGATAATCTTCTTGCATAACTCCTATTTTAAAAGACTGTTAGGATTTTTATGAGGGAGCTGGAGTAAGAATCAAGGTAGCCTTTTTTTTTTTTTTTTTTAAAGATATAAGATATACCAGAAAAGTCTCACTTAATCCAAACAATTTGGCTTTTTTACTATAAATATTTCATGCTTGTCATCATACATTCATTAGTCCGACTCTGAAATTCTAGAATGCATATTTAAACCTATTTTCTTTCTTGAAGTACATACAAAATTCATCGCTCATTCTAAGAGAATACATCAATAAATATATTCTACTAATTTCAGAATATATTAAACATCAAAAAGACACATTTAGCAAAACTATTACCTTTATTTTTAAAGACGGGCTATATATAACCACAATTAAAAAATAATTTTATTTTGAACTATTAACAATGTAAACGTGCAGCTCCAGGATTAGTGACAAGTTATTATTAACCAAGAAGTAGCTCCTAAAATAAAACAAGCTATCATGTAAAATCTCATATTCAGTTAACATGCATTTCTACTAATTCACCGCAGGTTTTTCCATTTTGTTCTTATCATTTATTGTTACTAACTCTCCATTTTTACACCTCTCATTCTTCATCAGCTACAAGCTCGTCCTTCTTCACTTTTAATTTAGCATTAACCTCTTTAAACCCAAATCCGCCTGTTTCATTCTTAAAAATATAAAATGCCTAGAATTCTTAGCGATAGTAACTGCTGATCTATCTGTTCAGGCTATTTTAAACCAAAGATAAATCCCACTTTATTGGATTTTAGGGATGACAAAAATTGATCAAGGAAAAAGAGACTTTCAATTTAAAATGAACCTAATAGTGTTTTATATCACTTTAAAAAATAACCTAATTTTTCATACAGGCTAATGATTATTTCATTTTAATATCCAAGTGTGAACAACAGATTTCATTTTTAAGAGGCCAAATAACTGGGAAGTGACAAGATGCAACTTTCAGGGAAATAAACAGGGAAATTACTTTAGGTCACTTTCAGACCTTAAGCAAACAAAATTAAGAGCATCCATCATAGATTAAGAGCAGACGGGGGCGCCTGGGTGGCGCAGTCGGTTAAGCGTCCGACTTCAGCCAGGTCACGATCTCGCGGTCCGTGAGTTCGAGCCCCGCATCAGGCTCTGGGCTGATGGCTCAGAGCCTGGAGCCTGTTTCCGATTCTGTGTCTCCCTCTCTCTCTGCGCCTCCCCCGTTCATGCTCTGTCTCTCTCTGTCCCAAAAATAAATAAACGTTGAAAAAAAAAATTTAAAAAAAAAAAAGAGCAGACAGCTTTCTAAAAACTATGTATTTTTAACAAATTATATCGATGCTGAAAGTGAAAAGATATTTCTCTGAGATGCTATAAAAATAAGAGCTCAAATATACAATGTATCCAACTTATAATAATAATGTATGTGATATGATAAAGTTCTGGCCATTTTATATCTGCATTATTTTTTCTTTCAGAGTCCTGGCTGATTGCCAAACACAGCACTGGAACAAAGGTGCCCACCCTTTCCATACTCAAGTACCAGGCACATTATGGTTCCCAAACATAGGTTAATAATGAGTAACAGCCTGCATATCAAATCCAAACTGCTCCGTTTTTATAAATAAAATGTTACTGGAACATGGATAGTCAACCTCATTCATTTTGGTATTGTTTGCAGTGGCTTCTGTGCTACAGAGAGCACTAGACACTGCATGGTCTGCAAGCCTGAAATGTCCTGAAATATTTACCATCGGGCCGTTTACAGAAAGCTTCCTAGCCCCTGACATAGGGTGACTGGTTTGAAAATGTTATTTTGGGACACCTCAAAAACCAGCCACTAGAAAACCAGACAGGCAAACAGGAAAAAAAGAAATAACTGTCATTCAATCCCAAGAAACATCAATACATTTTTGTACAAAGACAGTAGATGAGCCCCACAAAATTCCAAGATCTTTGTCTAAAATGTTTATTCTTGGGGCGCCTGGGTGGCTCAGTTGGTTAAGCGTCCGACTTCAGCTCAGGTCATGATCTCACAGCTCGTGAGTTCGAGCCCTGTGTGGGGCTCTGTGCTGACAGCTCGGAGCCTGGAGTCTGCTTCGGATTCTGTGTCTCCCTCCCTCTCTGCCCCTCCCCTAGCTCGCATTCTGTTTCTGTCTCTCTCTCAAAAATAAACAAACGTTAAAAAAAGAAATGAAATGAAATACACTTTATCTTTCCTAAAGGTCAACCAAATGCATTTGAATTCTATGTCTCTTTACATATCTAGAGCTGTTAGGCAAGCTGCAAGATTCTGGAATAGAACAACTGCCCTCTAGTGGTGTGCAAGTGGTATCAGGAAAGTTCTTATAATTCTTTGATTTTTAAAAATTAGATACAATTATAGGCTATTATGGGAATTATGCCAAACTTTGATGAGAACTATCCTAAAAATATTCTTCTTCCGGGGCGCCTGGGTGGCTCAGTCGGTTAAGCGTCCGACTTTGGCTCAGGTCATGATCTCACGGTCCGGGAGTTCGAGCCCCGCGTCGGGCTCTGTGCTGACAGCTCAGAGCCTGGAGCCTGTTTCCGATTCTGTGTCTCCCTCTTTCTCTGACCCTTCCCTGTTCATGCTCTCTCTCTGTCTCAAAAATAAATAAATGTTAAAAAAAAAAAAAAATTCTTCTTCCAATTTGAAATCCAGCAATGTTCTACTTCCCTAGACTCCTCACATGAACCCATGTCAGTCTTTCTCCCCCCTTTAAACAGAACAAATTCTTGGTTCAAGCTTGGTTCAAGCTTGCACAGAGAGAGGCTCATTAAAAAAAGCTGAGTTGTTTTGTTTGAAAGTGGAAGCAGATATCTTCATCTGAATGTCTCGTAATGAATCAAATTCAACCTGTTCCAGAGTTCGTCATCTCTTTTCTCTCCGTCTAAACACGCTCATCCTTCTGCCATCCCCTGTATTAGTGACTGGCAGCAACATCTCCCCAGAAACTGGGGGGTCATCGTGGCTGCCACATCTAATCAGCCACTTTATCTGGTCAATTTTTCTTCCTCGACAGCTCTATCAGCATCTACTTGCGTCTCTCAATTCCAATTCCTATTATGCAAAATGATCATAATTGCATGTAAGGATTACTGGAACAGCCTCCTCAATCAGTTGTCTCAATACAACCGCCATACCTCTGCCAGAGTAATCTTTCCAAACTGCGTATCCAATAATTTTATTATTCATGTTTCCCGGTGTTACTGAAATATTTCATAATAAAATAAACAAAAAAATAAAATGCATATCCAACCTTATCAATCTCCTGCTGAAATCAACTAGCTCCTCATGGCCTTCAAAACCCGAGTCCAAACTCCTTTAGCGCTGGCTTGTGAACCACTAAAGCTGTGACCTGTTCGAGCTCACCTGTTTCTTGTCTTATTTTTATTACTATGGCCAATTCATCCAAAGTTTACAAGTATGTACTATGGGGGCGCCTGGGTGGCTCAGTCGGTTAAGCAACGGACTTTGGCTCAGGTCATGATCTCACGGTTCGTAGGTTCGAGCCCCACATCAGGCTCTGTGCTGACAGCTTGGAGCCTGGAGCCTGCTTCGGATTTTGTGTCTCCCTCTCTCTCTGCCCCTCCCCCACTTGTGCTCGGTCTCTCTCTCTCTCTCTCAAAAATAAATAAAATGTAAAAAAAAAATTTAAAAAAAAGTATGTACTATGGATCCTATGTAATCCTTGTAACTCTCACTGAGACAGACATTCTTTTCTTTCACTGTATAAATGGAGAGAATATGGGGACCCAGAAGTTAGGTAAATTGCCCTAAGTTATATAAAACCTATTGACAGACTATATCAACATATGCCTGGAAAGAAGGCTGCAAAGAGGAGACAAAGATAGCCTCATTATATCCAGTGGTTCTCGGTAGGCCATGATTATATATCGTATTCAACTTTGATTCCTCTGACACTTACTGGACAATGACTCAACGTCTGTTGAACATATGAACAAGCATGTGAACGAAGAGCAAACTGGTAGTATTATTAGGCATGTCTGAGCTATTTGGAAAGAATTTTTTTTTAATTTTTAAAATTTTTTTTATTTTTGAGACAGAGAAAGACAGGGCATGAGCAGGGAAGGGGCAGAGAGAGTGGGAGACACAGAATCGGAAGCAGGCTCCAGGCTCTGAGCCATCAGCCCAGAGCCCGATGCGGGGCTCAAACTCACAGACTGTGAGATCATGACCTGAGCCGAAGTCAGATGCTCAACCGACTGAGCCACCCAGGCGCCCCTGGAAAGAATTTTTAACACAACCAAGGAAGTTAGGATGTCATAAAAATAACAGGACTTGTAGACCTACAAGTGCTGTAATATCTAGACATGGCACGATTTCTCATACAAGATGATATTACTTACATCAAAAAATATTTCTAGTTTAGCACAGAAGATGGAGAAAGATGTAAATATTTAGTATTTCCATTTTACCTTCCTGGCCTGCTCTTCAGCTCTTTCTTTTTTAATTTTTTCTAGCTCTGCAAGAAGAGCTGCAGTATCATCATCATCACTCTCCTCTTCAAAATCTTCATCTTCATCTTCCTCCTGAAAAAGAATGACAACGGCCCAGGAGATTGGAAAGAACATGCACATTATTCATTTATTTTTCCATAAAAATCACACTTATCAAATCTCTGGGGCAGCGGTCAGTTTCCCGTTGGGGAAGATAAATGTACTTAAATATAATTAAAATCAACAAGCAACCAAAAAATAAAATAAAACCCCACAAACAAGCTTACAGAATACTTACTAAAATGTCCCTCATATGTTTGAGATTGTAACTTCAAATAGGGTAACAAAATATCTTTCAAATTTACAGGGTCAAAAGAGATTTTACATATGAAAATAGTTCTAAAATCAGAGAAGAAATACTACACTGATATACGCAGTACATATGTACACGGTGTATCACCCTGAGAGTCAAATAATTTTATTAGCTCAAAACAACTTTTAAGCTAGGAAGTAAGGATAATCAAAAGTACAAACAAGGGTGCTACATTCTCAGAATAATTTCAAACAAATAGTTATTAAATCCCATTTAAAATTGGGTTTCCTTTATTTAATTACTGAGTTCACTACTGAATTCAGTCTGTCAGGTCTGGAATTAATTGTTGACATATACATTTAGTTTGATGCTCCCCACGAAAGGCCACTCATGTTTTCCCACTGTATGTAGAAACTTGCAAGTTAATTACAGACTATAGGGCCCCACTGAATTTTAATGTTAACTGAAGCACTAATTCTAAAAACCTTCCACTTAGATCGCTTCCCTTCCTAAGCAGAGGAAGCCATTAAGTTGAAGTGCACATCTAGAGAGGGCACCTTTGAGATCTAATGTGGAAAGGCCCCTGGGTTCAACTCTTGGGGGTGCTGACAGACACCCTAGGATGAGGAATGCCCTCTGGGGGGTACAGAAAACATGGTCAACCTCCAGGATTTAGTACAGAGAGTTCTTTTTTAGGGAAGCTTATTCTTTAATAGAACACTTCCTTATGTGGTTCTCTGGAGATCAAACTTGCCCTTGAAGTTTGATTACTCTTGTGATTAATACTTTTTGTTTAAGAATCAACCATGGGGCGCCTGGGTGGATCAATCGGTTAAGTGTCCAACTCCTGATTTTGGCTCAGGTCATGATCTCACGGTTCGTGAGACCAAGCCCCGTGTCCAGCTCTGCGCGGAGCCTGCTTGGGATCCTCCCTCTCTCTTTCTGCCTCTCCCCTGCTCACGCTCTCACTCTCTCAAAATAAATAAATAAACTTAAAAATCAACCATAAAGCTTAACACTGATGTCAGGGCTACATGTGAATAATAGGAAGTAAATAAATACAGGTCACTTCTCAAAGTCAAAAAACAAAAAAAAGCATTTCAGAAAACAAGATAAAAAAATTATCACGTGGAGATCAATGGAGGAAATAAAACATACATCTGTTAGAGGATCATCTGCATCAAGGTTGGCAGCAGGAATCTGGTCTAACCGAGGTTTCTTTGACACTGATGAGGAGGTTGTATGTTCTGGGGGAAAACAAACATCATTTAGCTTACTAAAATAAACACTGCATTTCTTGTAACATTTTAGGGACGTGTGGGCACAAAGAGCTTACAGGAACCACAGTGCCTGGAATGTGCCCTTGGTTAAGTATTTGTTGAATGAATTAATGAAAGTATTGATTTGAATAGGAGAACTATATAGCCTCTCTTGGGAAATTGAGGAAATAGTTTACATATACTGAAAATATAAAAAAGCTACTGTAACTGATGCCTGTAAATGCCTGCCAAAAACTAGCGACAAAACTAAGAGACCCTCACAGACAGAAACTTATGGGGCTCAAGGAGTGTGGCTATTCTCAACAGTAAAAACCTTTATGTGAGGGGCGCCTGGGTGGCTCAGTCGGTTAAGCGTCCGACTTCAGCTCAGGTCACGATCTCGCAATTTCTGAGTTCGAGCCCTGCATCGGGCTCTGTGCTGACAGCTCGTAGCCTGGAGCCTGCTTCGGATTCTGTGTCTCCCTCTCTCCCTGGCCCTTCCCCTCTCGAGCTCTGTCTCTCTCTCAAAAAATAAATAAACATTAAAAAAAAAGATTAAAAAAAAACAACAAAACACCTTTATGTGAACTGAAACAACAGCTGCTAGATATCCCCAGGTCATCCTGTTCCTTCTACCACAGAAGCACAGATGGAATTAGAACCCAACCTCATCAGCGCTAATCTAATCACTTAAGAAAGTGTTACTGATGTCTTAAAGCAAACAATATTTTAAACTGTTCACACCAATATTTTAAAGGCAAACAAAATACTGATCAGTTCCAATTAGAACATGAAATAAAAACCGTTATTGACCTAATTTCAGGAGACAAATGTCTGGGGGTAGTGTTAGTACCTCGTGTTGGACGATCTCTATTTTTTTCTCTGGCGGCAGCTCGCTCTCTCTCCTCCAGCTCTCTCCTGAAGTCACGGTTGCGAACCTCTTCAGGGGCATCCTGAGTGGTTTGTCTAAAGGAGAAACAAATGAGGGAAAAAATGTTACTTACTCATCAACATGGATACAAGTTACATCCTTGTGATGTTTCCAATATTTCAAAAAGCACAAAGTGAGTCACACATATTTTCCCATAAGGCTGCAGATGAATTAAAATGTCTTTACTTTTTGTTAGCCATGTCATCTCAGGGCTCATTACCGTGACACTTTTAATCTCATAATGATTAGTGTAGACCGTGCACAGGCCCTCTGAGGTAACTATTACTGTGCCACCTACATATGGAAATTCCCAGTTAACAGCAACTTCTGCATCAGTAATATACAGTAGTGCATTATAATCAGAGCATAATGTTAATGTCAAATACTCTATTGCATTCTACGCCTATGAAAATAGATGACTTAAGCGATCAATCCTCAAAATGCTACAGTCTCATGACCATGCCATTTAACATTTTTAGTCTTGTTTTCCGAACAAAAAAATGAAAAGTCTTCGTTACCTATATTTTATCTTTGTATGAGAAGGTAGGTCTCTACTTGAATACTGCTTTGAGAGTTGACTCAAATCACCTTCTCCTTTTCCTCTCCCCCCTCTTGCAGGTTCAAAAGTTGGCCTAGCTGCTGTTGTCATCTTTTATGCTTTAAAGAAAAACAGTATCCAGTTAATTCCAATATGATAAACTCTCATTGCATATCCATCTCTCATAAATCTCATAAAAACAGTATCCAGTTAATTCCAATATGATAAACTCTCATTGCATAAAGTATTCATAAATATCCATTCTTGTGAAATAATTTCCAAAACTCATTCTCCAAAATTTACCTAAAGAATCTCGAACAAAAGTTTTGAAGAAAACAAATTATGAAGCTCAGGGTGTATAAGGAATACAGCTTCTTAGGCAGCTCTTAGTGCAAAAAATCTCCCATGAAGATCTGAGTTTGTGTTTCTGTTCTCCTGTCTCTGTGACCTTGGGCAAGTCACCGGGCTTAGGTTTCTGTGAAATGGGCTAGATATCCCTCAAAGGATTATTATATGAGAATTGAAATGTCAAAGTCTTGTGAAATTTAGCACTGCCACGATTAAGTTTTAAAAATTCTCAACTCAACATTACTCCACCAGACACCCTAACTAAACCTCGTACAACAGAAAATAGGCTAGTGACAAGAACAAAAATTACTTTAAAATCACTGTCAAAGTTAGTGAGTGTTCTGGAGAAACGTGTGCTAAAATTTAATGACGGTTACGTGGGCAAAATTCTCTGACAACCTTTTGTTGATCCAATTTTCTCCTACAGCCACCGTTGTAAGTCAGATCTTTTGTAGGTTACAAAGCTCAAGACAGGACACTCCCCCCCCCCCCAAAGGATTCTGATAAGCAAAACTCCGGGACCCATTCCTTGCGTTACTTTCGGTTTTGAGCTGCCAAGAGTGGTGCCTGGCAGATGTGGCTCCTAAAGCCCCGTTAAGGGTCCGAAAAGCATGAGTGTGGGGACGCTGGGGGAACCGGTATACTGTTCCAGATTTTCAAAAAGGGAAAAGGGGTGAATGCAAAGGGAGAAACTGGATTGTCTGCCGCTGGGGGCGCCGCCGCCTCCCACACACCCCCGGATCCTCGTCGCTCCCACCTCCCGGGGGCTCGCCTTCAGGCTGTTACCAGAAACTCGCTGACTCTTCACCCAAAGGCCCGACTCGCAGGGGGTTGGGGGGGTTGGAGGGGCGTGGACCCTATTTAACGCCGTCTGCAAAGCTGCCTTCACGCTGCGCGCTCCGCGGCCGGCCTGGGATTCGCCGGGCTCTACCACCGCCCGCTGCTCCGCGGCCTCCTCCGCCCGCGCCCGGTTCTCTACTGCCGACTCCGGCCGCAACCACCCTTTCCCGCCCCTCTCGGACAACAGAGACGACCTGCCACCCTCCTGCCGCTCACGTCGGCCGGGGTCTAATGCTGCAGCCTCCGGAAATCATACAGACACCATTACGACTCGTACCTCCCAGGAGCCTCTGCGCCCAAAGCCAGGGCCCAAGACCCGGAAGCAAACCCTAAGCTCTTTAGTCGCAGTTTAGAGGCGGAGGCGGAGACCAATCCGCAGCAGGCAAGGTGGAAGTCGGCGTGACGACAGAAAGGGGCGGGGCCGAAACGGCCCAGGGGGCGGGCGTTTGAAATCAGTGCTTTAGGGTAGACCCTAAACATCATTTTATACCTTCGAGAACCAATTACTTAATGTCTCTTCCGTCTTTCCCTTCCCCGACCCCCTCCCAGACTCCTTCATTCCGGTGCTGCGTGGACGGAAAGCCCCGGGTAGCCGACACCACGTCCCCGGCTAGCGAGAGAGAGCGTAGAGAAGGATTACACCAAACTGTTTAAATCCAACGGCTCCAGCTTCCTCTCTCCTGAGCTAGACCCAACAAGCCTAGAGAGTTGGGCTACGGAAAAACTAGTGTTTTCATTTAATTGGACATGAAGAAAGAACAAATATGTACGGGGGCAACCACGATCTTTATAAAGGTACCATTCCTGCAAAAATATTAGTCTTCAAAAGCAAAGGTTGTATTCGTATTGTTTGTTAAAATTTCTATTTTTTAGAAAAGTCTAAGTTCTAGTGGGAGGGGAGATGTCACTATTCGAGATCCATTTATGAACCCGATTACGAGCGTTTAGAACGGTGGGCCCAACTGCCAGAAGCTCGAGATGCAGTTATAAGATGGCTACTCAAGCGTTAGGTGAACTTTTAATGAGACAACGAACGAGGCGGGGGGGGGGGGACCTCCCCAGTCGTCTTTCCTCCCTTTCCCAAGAAGGACTCTGGGAGCAGGGCTCTCGTTTGCTTAGCCCATATTGGTATCTCCTCACATAGTTTTTGGCCACAGTAGATACTCAATATTTATTAAACAAATGAAAATTCAGCCCCTCCAACTTGGTTTCAAATGTAAAGAGCTCATTAAATTGAACAATTAAAAAGCTTTATGTTCGGAACTCTTTCTTTGAAACTTATAAATGAAAAAAGTAAAAGAAAAAAGCCCCTTATAAAGTTCAAGATGAAGATCTTAGTTCTTAATGGAGGTGTTTCTCCCCTAGTTTTGCACATCTCCGTAAAGGACGCTACCATGTATGAGGCTATTAAACCCAAATCTTGAGGATCCTAATTGAATTCCTTTTTCTAAACCCTTCACATTTAGTTCATTTGCAAGACTTGCCAATTTTACTTCCAAAATGATACCCCACATTTCAGTCCACTGCCACTACCCTAAGTCTAAGACACTATTTTTCACCGACATTTGTAATTGTTCCCTAATGCGTCTTCTTGCTTTCACTTTTGTCCAACGTACAGTTAATTTTGCATATAGCAGTGAGAGTGACCTTTGAAAATTACAAAGCAGGTAGTGTTACTCTCCTGCAGAAAAATCCACTGCACTTAGAGTAAAAGTCAAATTCCTTAATGTGACCTGAGACCTTGTGGAGTCTGGTTCCTGCCTAGCTCCTTGACTTCACTTACAATCAGACACTTCTTACATATTAAACTTTAGCCACAGCCAACAGGGCGTCTCTGTTTCACAAACGAGGATAAGGTTCCTTTGTACTAGGTTTTCTCTGTTGCCTGTGCCCCAAGACGACTGTTAACATCCTTCAAGTCTCTGCTCAGATGTTACTGTGTCAGTGAGGCTTTTCCCTGACATCTTCTTTGTCACCCCCAAGCCCCGAACATGCAAATACCATCACATCGCCCTACTTTATTTTTTTTGTAGTACCAAATGCTGCCAAATTTATTCTGCCATTGTTTTTTCGCCTTGTTTTTTGTCTGAGAGGCAGTATAGCAGAGTCGTTAAGAGATAAGGGATCTATAGCCTATCTTGGTGCTAAATTCCAGGTCTGCCTTTGACTAGCTGTTTAGCCTTGCCCTAAAGGGAAAGTTATTTTCCCTTTTTGTGCCCTCAGTTTCCATTATATAAAATGGGGATAATTCTAGTCTTGACCTCCTATTGTTATGATAAGGATTAAATGAAGTAGTACTTGTAAAGTGCTTAAAACAGTCTCAGCAAACAGTACTTGCTAAGTTGTTAGCTATTATTATTATTAATATTATTTTTATTATTATTGTCTATCTTCCTATATTAGAACGTAAGTTCCAGGAAAGCAGGAACCTTGTCTCTCTTGTTCACTGGTGTATCCTCTGCATGTAGAACAGTGCCTGGCACATAATAGGTGCTGAGTAAGTATTTGTTGAATGAATGAATGATTGATGCACTATGAAGTGGAGGAAAGAAGTAACAATGACAGGGTGGTGACACAATTATAGATAATACCCCTGGTTTCTATATCCCAGCTGCCCTTATCAGCCCTGAGTCCATCACCCTGATTCATTTTGCTCTTAGCCCACCACCATGGGCTAATCTTTGGATCACCATGATTAAATAGCCACCCCTGTAATTAACACCCACATACAATATCATCAGTCCATGAAGTTAAAAGCTTTGACCTAAATGGTCTGAAAGTAGTAATTAGAAAACACTAAAAAAGTGTTTGCTTAAGTGATTTTAAAGTACTGATAAATGAAACGAAAAGCTTTTGACTTAAGTGGTTTGAAAGTATTAGAAAAAAAAAAACCTAAAAGCAAGTTTACTAAAAACTTAAAATATACCTTATCAGTTACCTTTGCTGGCAAAAGTCATGTATAACCTCCCAGGAGTTCTCATTTTAAGCCCATTACCACAGAAATCCAGTTGTGCCTCAAATTCTGCCTGCCAAACCTCTTATGCTCTTCTAATTGCTTATTTTTCCACTCTGCAATGATATGATTTCCCACAGTCCCCTCTTTCTTCAAATCTACACGCCCTTTCCACCCTCTTTTCCCTTCTCATCCTCTTTCCCAGGAATGGATGATCTTCTGACTTCTTGCGAAAACAAAAGCTCTTAAACAAGGATTTCTCATGTGCCCTCCAGCAGATCTACCAAACTGCCCATGACTGTGCCCATTACCCTCAGCTCTCTATGGGTTAGTAGACATGAGATGACCTAAGCCCCCTTCCTTTGTGGTCTGGATCCTAATCCCTCCAACCTTCTTTGTAACTGACATCATGCTGTATTTCTTATCTCTCATAATCTATGAATCAATCCATTCCTTGTAGATCATTCTTATCAGGTTTTGGATATATGTAGTAGATCTTAACCTTTAACAATGCTCCTTCATTTTAATATGACAAAGGCAGTATTTTAATTCAATGTGTAAGGGATATTTTACATAATAACTATGACTGTAAAACCGACTCTTGTGGCTGGATGTAATGTGGAGTTCTAGCTTCAGAATTGACACAAATACTATGTCCTATTGAATTGAATAGCCAAAAGGAAAAAAGAAACCATAAATATCTAAGAAGAAACCTTAAGAGACTATTTGCACAACCTAGGGTTTGCAAAGACCTTTTGAGCAAGGCAGAACACCTAAGAGCTGTGCAAAGAGTAAATGTAGGGCGCCTGGGTGGCGCAGTCGGTTAAGCGTCCGACTTCAGCCAGGTCACGATCTCTCGGTCCGTGAGTTCGAGCCCCGCGTCAGGCTCTGGGCTGATGGCTCAGAGCCTGGAGCCTGTTTCCGATTCTGTGTCTCCCTCTCTCTCTGCCCCTCCCCCGTTCATGCTCTGTCTCTCTCTATCCCAAAAATAAATAAACGTTGAAAAAAAAAATTAAAAAAATAAAAAATAAAAAAAAAGAGTAAATGTAAAACTTTATCTATATAAAAATTTTATTTTATTAAAGAAGGTGCTTAAAACAAAGTCAAAGATAAATGCTAGATTAACAGGTGAATTTTGTAATACCTATAACATAAAAGGTTACTACTACTATACATAACAAAATACAAACGACCCAATTAAAAAAATGGGCAAAGAATATAAACAGGCCATTCAGAGATAGCAATTCCAAAGAAACAATAAACATAAAAGACACACAACCTCCCTATTAGGAAGATGAAAGTAAACTAATAATTACCACATTATAGTATCAGATTGGCAATAATTTTGACAAATTAACAAGACAATTGGATGGGATTGGGAGAAAAGGGGATCCAGCTAGACAATAGGCATTGGCTCCTGATTTCTCTCACAGTAAAAATAAAAGGTGCTCACAGTGACCTACAAGACTCTCCCCTACATAATTGATTTCCTCTCTTGCTCATGTCTCTCTAGGCTACATCCCTTCCTGGTGTTATGTGATCATATCTCCTGCCTTAGGGTCCTTGCAGTAGCTATTTCCTTGGCCAAGAACACTCTCACTTGTCTTATTCAGGTGTAGGTTTAAATGAGGTCACCCAGGGGCGCCTGGGTGGCGCAGTCGGTTAAGCGTCCGACTTCAGCCAGGTCACGATCTCGCGGTCCGTGAGTTCGAGCCCCGCGTCGGGCTCTGGGCTGATGGCTCAGAGCCTGGAGCCTGTTTCCGATTCTGTGTCTCCCTCTCTCTCTGCGCCTCCCCCGTTCATGCCCTGTCTCTCTCTGTCCCAAAAATAAATAAACGTTGAAAAAAAAAAATTAAAAAAAAAAAAAAATAAATGAGGTCACCCAAACATGACAGCCCTATTGAAATTTGCAACCCTCCTCCCCGTTGTTCCCCCAGCATTCTGTTCTCCTTATCTCCCTTATCCTGCTGTCCTTTTTTTTTTTTACATAGCATATGTCCTCTTACATGATCCTATATAATTTAGTTATGCTTATTATTTCTTTCTCTACTTATTCCATGCAGTATATAAATTCTACAAGGGCAGAATCTTTGTTCATCCCAATGATGTAAGCCAAGCACCTAGAACAGTGCCTGGCACCAAGAGATGCCCACAATTTTTTTACAAATGAATTAATGAATGGATGGATGGATGAATGAATGAATGAGTGATTGAGTGAGTGAGTTCACAGGGAAAGAAATCACATTTTGGTATAAAAAGCTATTGCCTTAATCTCTTTTATATTTTAAAGGAGAGAAAAGTAATTGAACATTCTGCTAGTCTGAAAATAGATTTGAAATGAAGATACACCAAGACCCACAAAGATTTCTTTTCAGGAAAGAATCACTAAATGAAAAATCCTGTGACTATCAGGCTCTATAGGCACCATCAAAATTCTAATTCAGTCAGCCCCACCCCCATCCAGTCACAGCTCTAATTTAATCCAACCTTCTTTCAATTCCTCCAATTCTAGTAAACCCTCTCATTTTTACAAAGTTACAAAATGTGAAAATTTTGCTTGAAAATGTTTCTTTGAGGCTTTGAATAAGAAAATGAAGAAAACCCCCCAGTGGTCACAAGTCAGAAATCACGTTAAAACAAACAAACAAACAAACATAAACAATGGCATCTGTTTAAACTGTTTAACTTGAAAATGCCCAATTTTCTAAGATAAAAAAAACAAACTGGTCCTTTGTTTTGACAAGACTAGATGCCCTGAAGCCCAGAGAGATGATTTTCTGGAGACAACTTCAGAATGAAATTTGTGATGGTTCAGGCTAGATTACTGGATAATAGTGTAATTTTAACACCTTTTACTTAATATAAGCACATGGCTACCTCATCAGCTGGCCAGCCCATAATTACCAAGACAATTAAAAACAAACATATTAAAAAAAAACAGTTAAAACTAAACAACTGATGTGGGGAAAATAAAGAGACAGACATACTGGGCAAATTCTAAGCAATGCCAACAAAAGAACTGTAGCAACATTATCAAAAGTATTTTGGGGGCACTTGGGTGGCTCAGCTGGTTAGGCATCTGACTCTTGATTTTGGCTGAAATCATGATCTTGCAGTTCACGAGATCAAGCTGTGCATCAGGCTCAATGCTGACAGCTGGAGACTACTTGGGATTCTCTCTCTCTCTCCCTCTCTCTCTACCCCTCCCTCACGTGTGTTCTCTCTCTCTCTCCTTCCCTCCCTCCTCAAAAAATAAATATTTAATAAAAAAAGTATTCTTTAAATAGAATAGCATTAAGAAGGACATGAATAGGGCCATCGTATCATATCATAAAGAAAAATACTCTAGGAAAATATTCCAATCATGAACATGCAACTAACTACGTAGTCGGGAAAAATATAAAGCAAAAATAAAGAATTAAAAGGAAAAACTGACATCCATAATTACAATGAGAATTTTTTTTAACGTAAGTTTTCTCAGATTAATAGATCAAGCAGACAAATTAACAACATTGAAGCATTGAGTACATAGATACATATGCTCATTGCATTTATATATGCATGTGTATTTATATATTATGTTTATATGTGTATAAAATCCTTGAAAACAAGAGAATACACATCATTTTTAATAAACATTGAACATTTACAAATTTTAATCAAATATAAAGCCCTCAAATTTCAATAAATGCTTATGTATTTCTAAATGGTAATATTTAGTCTTGCCAATTTTTGAGCTTTATATAATGTTAAAAATGTTATATAAATGAATCGTGTTCATTGTGTTTTGCTTTTTTCCTTCGACTTAATGTATATTTTGTGTAGCTGTAGTATACTATGTGGAATTCCATCGTGTAAAAATACGCAATATGTGTTATTTATTCTAATAACTATGCTTTCTGATGTGGGTGTTACAAATAATGCCACTATGAACACTCTTATAAATGTGCAAAGGTGTATGGTGTGTACATTTTATTTATATATATCCTGTCAGCAGGGTGAGGGTTCTAGTTCCATACTTTCACCACACTTGATATTGTCCAACTTTTCAATTTTAACTCCCCTGATAGATGATAGTAGTATCTTATTGAGGTCTGAATTTGCATTCTCTTGATTACTAAACAACATACATATGTTTAATGTCCATTTGGACTTCTTTTGTGAGGAATTGAGGTCTTTTTTTCTATTGATTCCTCTGAGTTTTTAGTACTTAGGTACCAGCTCTGTTGCTTATTTGTGCTACATGTGTATTTTCCATTTCTTGACTCCTCCTTTTGGTATATTTTGATATACAAAAAGTCTTAGTATTTGGGTAGTTCAGCTGATCAGTCTTTTCCTTTCTGCTTTGTGCATGGTATTTATTGATTGAGAAATTCTTCCCTACTTGAAGTTATAAGAAATTCCTGGATATTATCCAAAAGTTTTATAGTTACAGCTCTCACAGTTCCACTAGGAATTCATTTTTGCGCATGCTGTGATAGAGAGGTCTTGAAATCTGGTAAAGCAAGCCATCTTATCTTGACCCTCTTTTATGAGTGCTGTACTATTCTTGGCCCTTTGTGCTTCAATATAAAATGTGAAATGTTATATTCTACAAAAATACTTTTGAGATTTTGATTACAATAACATTGAATCTATAGATCAGTATAAGAAGAATTGACAATTCTACACTATTGAATCTTTAAATCTGTGAACAGTTATGTCTTTCCATTTATTTAGGTCTACTTCACTTGCCTCTAAGTAAATTTATATTATTTTCTTTGTAGAAAACTTGCAAGATTTTGTTATCTTTGGCCTTATGTGCCACTTAATTTTTAATACTATTGTAAATGGCATCTTTCTTAAATTTTGATTTCCTAATTGTTACTGATATATATAAATTTTTTTATATATTGCTATTTTAAATTCAGAGACCTTGCTAAACCTTCTTATTAATTAAAGTAGCTTATTTATAAATCTTTTGGATTTTTCATACGTGCAGTGATATCTGTGAATAATGACGGCTTTGTTTCTTCCTTTCCAATCTTTCCCCTCTCCTCTCTCTTTTTCCTTGCTACCTTATGTTGGATAGGACATCCTGGGCAGTGTTTAATAAAGAAATCACAGGCATCCTTATCTTTTTCCTGATCAGAAAGGGAAAGCATTCAACTTTTACTAGTAAAGTGAAGGTTTTAGGTAGATGCACTTTACTCAATAAAATTTCCTTAAAATTTTTAGTTTGCTAAATGGGTGGTGAATTTTATCAAACACTTCTACATCTAGTGGGGTTCTCTTTTAGTTTGTTAGTGTGTTCCTGTATGTATTTATTTAACTATCAACCTTTCATTCTTAGAATAAACCCACCTTGATCCTGATGAATATATTGCAGGAATCAATTTAATCAAATTCTATTTAGGACTTTTGCATCTATGTTCATAAGTGAGATTAGCTTGTTATATTCCTTTCTTATGGTGTCCTTATTAGAGATTTGTGTAATAAAATGTGTTCGAAAATATTCTTTTTTCTGTTCTCTGAAAATTTGTCTAAGGTTGACATTGTTTCTTCTTTGAATGTTTGATAAAATTTGATGGTTAGACCATCTGGACTTAGAATTTTATTTGTGAAGAGAGTTTTGAACTACTGTTTCAGTTTTCTTGATGTTTATAGATATACTCAGTGCTCTATTTCTTCATGTGTCAATTTTGCTATTATGTTTTTCTAAGAATTTGTTTCATCTGAATTTTAAAATATATTGGCTCAAAGTTATTTATTCTGTCTTTACTTGATGATCTTTTAATCTTTCCTGATATTGGTCACTTGTGCCTTCTATTTTGGGTCTTTGCTATTTTCATCAGAGGCTTTCGATTTTATTTGACTTTTCAAAAAAACAACCTTTGATTTTGTTCATCCTCTCTATTTTATATTGGTTTTCTATTTCATCCATTTCTGGTTGTATTTTTATTATTTTCTTTTTTCTACTTTCCTTGCTTTTTTCCTAAATTTCTGAAATGGATGCTTAGCTCATTTAATTTTTCAGACTTCTTTCTTTTCCTTTCTTAGATATTTATTTAAATATATAAATCTTCTTTTTAATACCTTTTACTACATCCCACAAGATTTGAAATGTAGAATACCCCCCTCTAATTTAAAGTATTTCCTAATTTCCATTTTTATTTCTTTCTGATTAAAAGTTTGTTTAGAAATTTATTTTTAATTTTATAAAATTTGGGATTTTCTAGGTGTCTTTTTAATATTGATTTCTAACTTTGTTGTTTATAATTATGGCCTGCCTGCTTTTAGCCCTTTAACATTTGTTAAAACTTGTTTTCTGGCCACAGGTTTATGGTCAATTTTGTAAGGTTTCCATAGGACTTGAAAAAAAATTCTATTCTGTATTTTTGGGAGTACAAAGTTCAGTATATGACCATTAGGTCAATTTTTAGATTTCATTGCTCAAGTATTCTATATTTCTTTACAAATACTTGATCAATTAGTAGAGTCCTGGTCCTGTTTTTCTTGATTCCCTGTCACTCTCAAAAGTGTGTCAGATTGGTGTTAAATGATATGATGTAACTTAAAGTTTAGAACCACTCTTATTAAATTCTGAAATGAATGTAGAATTTCTATTTCTACTAATCAGTCAACATTCAGTATTTTACTGGAGATCATATCTAATTATATAAGACTTCCATTCCTGCCAAGCTTCCAAAAAAAAAAAAAAAAAAGAAAAGAAAAAAAAAGAAGCAATGACTACTGGAAAGAAGAGATGAGTTTTGTATTTTTTTCAGAAAATATCTATATGGAAAAGTCTAGAATCAATGGTCAGGCTGGTTTAACTAATAGGAAAAAGAGGTGTAAAGTTTGAAAAGAGATGTAGATCAATAAATAATGAAAATTAATAGAAAAATGTCTATCATAATACACTCAAAAAATTAAGAAGTTCCTAAGAATATATCTAAGGCAACAGATACATTATCTTTATGGATAAAATTTTGAAGCTTTATTGAAATACATATAAGATCTGAATAAATGGAGGAATACCAGTTAGTGAATGGGAATGCCCAGTATGGGAGGTATGTCCACCTCAAGTTTTTCTTTAGCTCATGCAATTTCAGTTGAAATCAATAATATTTTTGTGGAACTTGAAAAATTTATCCTAAAATTAATACTGAAGTTTAACTCTACTAATCTACCCAAATTAATTCTGAAAAAGATGAATAAGCACATAGGGACTTGACTTACCAATTACCAATACTAAGCATAAAGCTATTATAATTAAATAGTATAGATTCAGCACAGAAATGGACAAATCAATGGACTTGAATGTAGAGTTTAGAAAGAGATCCATGTTTATATTGGAACTTGGCATGTGAGAGTGGAAGATTCCAGCTCAGTGGGAAAATGGGGATAGACAGATTTCTACAAACAACGACAGCAACAACAACCAAAACGACAATATAGATCCCTGCTTCCCAACAGCATTCTAAATGGATGAAACAAAGAAAACAAAAGAAAATAAAATCTTTGTGACTTAAAGGAACAGTATGTTACTTAAACAGGACATAAGGGAACAGATCATAATGGAAAAGATAAGTTTGATTACATTTAATTTTCAAAATACCTAAAAAAGACACCATGAACAAATTTAAATGGAGGTGATGGGGTGAAGTGAGCTATTTACAACACTGTGACAGACATAGAATTAGCATCACAAACATTTAAAGAACTCTTACAAATCAGTAGAAAAAGAAAAACTAATTGAAAATGCAAAGGATATAACTGGTAATTCGTAAATTGAAACCCACATAAAGGCAATAATCAATGAAAAAGCCTGCACCTCATCAGGAAACAAGCCACACAATCATATAAAAGGAAATAAATAATTTTGCCAATCAAATAGTTAACTAAAAATTTGACATTCTCAAGTGCATCTAGGGGTATGGAGAAAGAAACTTCTAT